TCTAGAAAGTTGGTTAGGGGGGACTCCATAAATGTCTTCCAGGGTGGCTGCGTTTCTCACTAACATGATGGGCTCGTTGACATCTAATCACATCTCCTATCGTCCCTCAACGAGCCCATCATGTTAGTGAGAAACACAGCCACCCTGGAAGACATTTATGGGGTCCCCTCTAATCAACTTTCTAGACTGAAGATGCTGCTTGGACAAGCAGCAAAACATACAGTATCTAACCAAAAGAAAAGAAGTCCAGTTGCCATGACTCAACCTCCAGATAATTCGCTTGGACAAGCAGCAAAACATACAGTATCTAACCAAAAGAAAAGAAGTCCAGTTGCCATGACTCAACCTCCAGATAATTCCACCTGGATGACTGAGTATCTTCATCAACATACACCCACCCTTACTTGTTCCCCCCAATGGCTTTTCAGCTCCAAATCTGAAGCACTTCACATACTTGAGAATATTCCACACAGCTAAGCAAGAGTCTTATCTTCAAGCCAGCTGTTTCCAGCCTGGTTTCCTTCTGATTTATTGGATAACCCCTAGCATCCCAGTCATCAGGCTGTTCATGAATTCTGAGAATGAGAATCAGAATTCTTCCAACTCATTTTGGAGGAGGATGAGTTGGAGAAAGCTGTTGTCCTCACCCACCAACAAAACCCTCCCTTCTTCTGCCCTCCCTCTTCAGATGCTCGGCTTATAGTCTCCTGGAGAATGTTGTTCGACAGGCCCCACTGAAACAAGGTTGTCCACCATCTGATTATTTTCTGGCTCAAGTGGTGAGTCACCCTCTGGACCAGTGTTTCTCAATCTCAGCCACTTTAAGATGGGTGGATTTCAACTCCCAGAATTCCACACTCAGCCATGCTGGCTGGGGAATTCTGGGGTTTGAAGTCCAGACCTCTTAAAGTTGCTAAGGTTGAGAAACACTGCTCTGGACTGTACCACAAACCATGGGTGGGTTCATAGAACAGAAGGCTGATCTGTGCAGCAGGAATAATAACAGTGTAAATTCCTCTCTTGCCCTTAGCGTACTAGTTTTCAAGCGATTTCTTTTAAGAATGCATTTCTGGCTCCTCCTAATAAACCTACCGTAACAATAACACATAAATTGAAATAAAAGATGAGACTATTACATAAGGCTTTAAAAGTACCCCATTCCAAACAAACAGCAGAAAACGAAACAATACTTTTGCTATCTCGGTAGTGATGAGGATAATTCCCCTGTCTACGGATATGGTTTCTCCACCAGCTTGATCGTTTATGGCTCGGCTTGACTCTGGGAATGTGGACCTCACGTCTGCTGAAAAGCAAGGATTCTGTAGTCCTAACCTTGCCCTCAAGTAGAGATAGGGGGTCTAACGCTTCCCCTTTTCCAACCCAGCATGTTCTTGATATATTCATTGAACCAAACCAATCATCCTCAGCCATTGCCCAGTTTCTTCGGTCCTTGCTAGTTAGTAATAGTTTGGCAAGTCAACCTGAGGAACTTTCTCATGGCATTAAGAACCCAGTGGAAAAAAAATGAGAGAAAGGGGGCCATGAGTTGGACCCCAAATCCTTGAATTCTCCTCCCAAGACCTGCCCCCCAATGCCTCTTCCCTGTTTCTTTTTACTTTTCTGCTTTCCGTTCATGCTGGGGTACTTTGCTGATGAAGATAAATGGAGCCTCAATTAAATCCCCGGCTGATTATTCTGCCTGGGCTGAAATTTCAAGATGGGATTGAAGTGACTCTAAGTAGGTGTGGTTGGAATGGTTTGTCCCTTGTACTCCAGGGTACTCAGAAGGACTATTAATTTCTCTCTGGCAGTGGTCCAAGGATTTTTCTCCCCTCTGATGATGATGATGATTATTTTATTTGAGGAGATTAATGGGCTAGGGCACCAGATAATCCAGTTTGGAGAGGGAGAAGGGAACAACCGAATACGTAGTCATCAGTCCAAGACAAATTGCAAAGCTGGAAGGGGTTCATAGCCCTTGCTTGCTTGTCTCAAAGCTGTCCCAGGTTCTCATTAATCCTTGTCCAAGAGAAGAAAGAGGTTGCATCTGTATTTCCAGCCACATCAGGGGGCTGGTGAGATAGCATCTGTCAAGGGTCCTCTAATGGCTCACTGCACAGATGCTTGTTCGGAACGGCTTCTTGTTTGGGACACTGATCGCTCTGAGTTGCAGTCTTTCTGCCTGGTTTTGTTTTGTTTTGTTTTTTGAGTCCTTGCAAAGTCCTTCAGAGGGCTTCATCTGCTCAAGTTGCGGATGGAGCTTAGCCCGCGGATGGCGCAAGGACCTTCTTGGAAGTCGTGTGCACTGTCCAAACAACTTTGAAACTCAGCACAGCTCTGCTGATGCGGCTGTCCTGCTCCTTCGTTGACCCAGAGCAACAGGATAGTTGTAAATGATCAGGGTACTGTGGCTGTTCCTTGAGGTTGGCACCTGGAATTTGGAGATACTCTGCCACCCAATAGGGCAATTCCTTTTTAGCTCATCATAAACAATATTTTCCATATATGGATGCATTAGATTCTACCAGCTAGCAATAGGTTATGGATGGGTACTGGGGGAATTGAGATGCCCTCCAACCATTGATTAGGAAGGGCAGAGGTTTGTGTGACCCTGAGTTCCTGAAAAAAGGGAATTCAGAACAACTCAGTCACCTTGATTGCAAGCAACTAAAAGCCAGAAATTCTGAAAGAGGTGCAACAAATCAGGATCTTAGATTTGAACAATATGTCAACTTGGTTAGTTTTCCCGTTTCTGCTTGTGGAAGAAGCCAAAGCACCGCAAACAACAGGCAGCCTGTAAACAAGCCAAGATTAGCTAGAATCCTTGTTTACTCTTAAGGGCCAAGGCAGTTTCCAGGGTGTTTAAAAGCCCCCTTTTCTCCGTTCCAAATAGGAGCCAGGAAATCCAACGATTCTTTTTCAGAAACAGAAGGGCTAATCTCTGTTTTCCAGAAGTAGGTTGTGCGTTTCCAGAATAAGTAATTTGTTGTGTTTCTGACCATCGAGAGCCAGTGTGTTTATACCACTGCACCAGCCACCCTACAAAGCCTAGATCAGATCATGTGAGGGACAGGGAATGGGCAATTCCAGGCAAAGCAGAACGTTTCAGAAATTACCTGCCCGATCCCTTCTATTTTGCCTATGCTGTAACTAGTTCCAAGCTGAATAGATCATCTTTATTACAGCCATTGACCAACCAATACAGAATAAAAAGCTCCGTAGGGTAGACAATGGAGCATTAATATCACATACACCTAAGGGTCTCTCTTTCTCTGAGTTTAGAGCAGTGTTTCTCAACCTTGGCAGTTTTAAGATGCATGGACTTCAACTCCCAGAGTTCCCCAGCCAGCCATGCTGGCT